AGGCAGAAGGCCGCCCACCAAGAGCCGGGGTCTGTCGGCGGTTTCTTCCGTTAAAGGGAGTTTTTCCTCCCCACTGTCACCAAGTGCTTGCTCAAGGGGGATTTGTTGGGTTTTCCCTATGTAATAATATTGATAACAGTAAGGTCTAGGCCTTACTTTGTAAAGTGTCCTGAGATGACTTTTGTTGTGATTTATTTCTCAGTCTCTTTATCAGAATACAACTAGAAAATATAAGAAATACAGTATATACACAGTATTAAAAACACACAATTGGAAACTCCAGATGTGGTTTTCAAGCTGTTCTAAAGAAATATGAAGAATGTGGAGAGGTCAAGGACAAAAACAGGAGTGGAAAACCCAGAAAACTCAAAGTCTGATGAGAAGTTTCTCATTGTTTCTTCTTTGTTAGACCAGAGGACATCCAGCAAGGCTCAGCATCTGGCAGCTTAATCTAGAAGCCAAGTTGATCTTTCCACAGACTTAAGAAGCTTGATCAGGAACAGCCTTTGTGGAAGGACAGCAGCCAAGAAACCACTTGTTCAGAAGCGGGACGGGGAGAGAAGGGTGAGATATGCAAAAGCTCACAAAGATTGGAGTGAAGATCAGTGGAAAAGAGGATTATGGAGTGATGACTTGACGTTTGAAATGTTCAGGTCCATTTGTCGACAGTATGTGAGAAGAGTTGAAGAGATTTTAATATTGTGTAAATATTTCCTTTATTATATCTTAATAAAGAGACTAAGAAATAAACAAATTATCATTACAACCTTGCTAAAACAGCAAAACTCATGTTGGCCTAATACTTTTGCACAGTACTGCTTTAAGTTAAAGAGACTGTGGACGAAGCATTAGCAATGTAAACAGGCATACCTGCATATTTATCTGGTTCACACTGATGGCAAACAGTGGCACCCTTTGTGGAGTAGGTATCTGCAGGGCAGGGGGCACAGTGGGCAGAGCCGGGTTTTGCACTGTAAGTGCCAGGTTTACAGTAGAAACACTCTGACGTGTAGGCCACCCCTGGAAGAAAATCAGCAATCAACTTTTAACTATTAACAGGACAAAGGAGCTCAGGAGTGAACAAATGCTGCACACAACACACTGCTGATGTTACTCTACCTAAGATAGCGATGTTTCTTAGCAGCACAGGTTTGACAACAGTGCCCTGCAGAGAATATGTAGTTGTTCTCCAGAACAGCACATTGTTGCCGTTGTTCAGCTCAGCCTGCACAGAGTCCATTTAATAAATGACAGAGGAACAGAGCTTCTAATACCAGCAGATGTATAGAAAAGCTACACTCAGACAAACCGTGTATTTGCTCCAGTTGCTGTCAGAGATCTTCATCCATCGGTTTTCAGAGTCTGTAGACTGACACTTGTCATTTTGAACCTACATTATGGGAGAAAAGAGAGAGGAGTTATCACACAGTCCCCTTAACACAGCCATCTTTTTCAGCAACAATCGTTTTAAAACACTTACAAAGAACTCAAAGTAGATGCTGTTGTCAGGGTAGAAATATTCAAAGGACACAGATCCAGCTTTCTTCAGGCTCACAGCATAGGACAGCACTGCAGTGCACTCATCTGTATTTGAGGCTATGTAGTCACCCTGTGGTGTCCAGGTTGAACTGAAGAAACATCAGCAGAGAAACAGTCTGATAAGATTCTTGAAACCCCAAAACGTTGGGGGCTTTGTTCAATTACTTTAGTCACAAAAGGGACAAAAATGCCATTTAAATAAAAACAGTAAGTAACAGTATAAACTAACTTGGAGCAGTCTGTGTGGACATCCCCATAATTCACTGTCTCTCCATGGGTGACAAACCCTGTTGGCAGGCTGTCCCACTCATCAAAGGCCACACCAGTGCCCAGAGAGTAGGTGCCTGCAGCACACTTCTGGCACTCCTGCAACTGCATGTCAAGGAACTCCCCATCACTACAGGAGAAGGCTAAAGCACAAAAACAGGGAGGTGTGCACAGAGGCAATTTGTTCTTTGCACATTAAAGCTGTGAAACAGATTGACAGCATGCAGAAAATGAGATGTAAAAGTAGGATACTCACTGCACTGAGTGCCTTTGACTGGATCTGGCAGACCTGTGCATATGTCGGCTTTGTTGGGAACCGCCACTCTCCACCGTGACCCAAGTACGTCACATTCTGTGTACTCAAAGTGGTAATCTGACTGCAGGGACAAAACACAGGTGTGAGTTTCACACAGACGGATAAAAACGGACTATGTGCACAGCATGCACACTCTGAGAAGAGGTGGGTAAAATTCATTCTAATGATACATGCAGGATTAGGGTTGCAACTAATGATTAACTTCATTATCAATTAATCTGCCAATTACTGACTGGGATTAATTCATTATCTAAAAAAATGTCAGAAGACAGTGAAAAAGGCCCATTTTAATTTTTCCCAACTCAACATTTTGCCCAAACAGCAGCCAAGGTATTCAGTTTACTAAGATGTTTGACAAAGAAAAGCATCAAATCCTCACATGAGATGACATTTTTAGAAATGACTAAAACAATGAAATGATTATCAAACTTGGCTCCAATTCCAATTCTGAAGGTTGACAAATTGTCACACCTCTGTAAAGAATGAAAACCAAAAAGCTCCAGCAGGTGTTTGTAAAAATATGTCATCACATTGTTTTATACCTCTAGATTTGTCTCCTAAACCAGACCAGCCTCTTTTACAAATAAAAGTCAGAGAGGCTAATATTTACCTAAGAGGCTGTCTCAGCTTTTGTTTTATTCTCCCACATTACAGATGTGCAGCAGCTCTGCACCTTCAGGGTTTATTTACTAAGTCAGGCAGGGGAAACGATATTTATCTCATCCTTTTGTAAACATTTATTCACTTCAGTGTTTTCACAGAACTTTGGAGACAGGAGGAGCTCAGCTTTATTTGTTGTGGTTGGAGATACTTTTATAGTGGTCACTGACTAACACTGTCCCACCCGTACCGGTGTAACACAGGCTGTGACATAACGTTAAAGGTTATCTTGCTGATCTGAAACAAGTCAAATACTGAGCAGACACATAGTGTAATCTTAGGATTTGTTCACTGGTCAACAACAGGCTGTAATATTCCTCGTAAGGTCACTCAGCACTATACCAAGCCTACGCACAGCCTAATGGGATTAATAGTTAACAGAAACATAGCAGCAGCTGCAGCAGCAGCACTCCTCTGAGCTTGTTTTCAGTTAGAACTGGTACATTAGCTGTGGCTGAGGTATCACATGAACATGAGTCTGGGTGGGGGGGGGATCTGATGTAAAAGTGCCCTAAACTAGAGATGTGCTGAAGCCTAATCATCCTGTTTAAACGACACCAGGAAACCAAGGCAACGGGACATCATGACCACTGGGCCTCATGGTCAGTGGACTGGCATGGAAACAAACTCACCAGAGCTCCTTCCTTACATCAACCTTTAGTAGCTCACTGAACATAAAATAACAGCTGGTGTCTCTGGTGCTACACACTCTTATGTTCAAAATGTGCAGATAAAAAAAGAAGTGTTTTGAATATTATCAAAAGGATATCATTTTATGCAAACTGAAAACTGATACAAGGGTGAGGAGAGCAGACATAGTAACATATGGAAGTTCTAGTACAATAATCTTGTGATAACACTGAGGTGAGCACAAGTGTATGATTAATGCAATTTAAACACTTACAAGGGAAACATATGTTCAATTACCACACACAATATGTGAAGGAGGAGGAGTTTTGGTGTTAAAATATAGTTATATTTAGTTTTAAAGACTAAAATCGACCGCCAACAAAACAAGTTGTCCTGGATTATCAACCATATGTGCAATTAGAAGCTGTTTAATAATCTTTAAGTCAACCATTTTTCATGTTTATTATGATATAATGAACAAACATAATATCCACATGGCAAAGCTGGCTGAACTCATCTCCAAAACGCCTTCCATCTCTTTGCACTTCAGAGCAACTGGTTTCATCTTTGCTGAATTTTAAATTAATTAATTCTCCATCTGGTCTCATTATGAAGAACAACAATAACAATAGAATGTACAATAGGAATTTCCTCACCTCTTTGCACATGGGCAAATCCGCAGAGGTTAGCGCAAAAAGCAGCCACAGTACAAAGTGACTCGGGTGCGTCAGGACTCCCTGCATCGCTGCCTCCTGTCAGAGCTGAAGTGATGAAGACGGGTGAGCGGAAGGTTGGCCTGCGCCCTAAGGTGCTGCTGCCCGGCGGCTGGAGGCGCGGCTTCACGCTGAGCCGTGAGCTAAAACTGGGAAACCATTGGCTGTGGTGTCTGTTTTTACAATGAGTCATCATTTAACGACTCGCTGTTGAACCGGTGTAGATTGAATTGTACTTTACCTGCCCTACCTTTGTAGACATTACTGAAGAAGCGGGTTATTATCTGTATTAATCGTCTGGAGTGGTTATTCGACAACTTGTACAAGTCCAGGAAGCGGATAGATGTGAGAAAATAATGTTTAAACCACTGGGAAAAATACCCCCCACAAATAGAAGTCATGCAACCCCACGACCCTATTCAGGATAAGGCGGTAAAGATAATGGATGTACGTTCTAATTCTAATTATAATAAAGTATTTATAAAGTTTTATATGGTTTCTAGCTCCAAAAGAGAACGAGCAGGTTGCTGCACAGTATGAAAAACTGTTTTACAAAATACACCTGTTGTAATATTTTAGAAGCAGACTGAAAAGTAGGCCTAGCCCTGGGTTATAGCCTATTTGCATTTGAAATGGGGAGGGATAGAATTAGCCTGTAAGGAAGCATAAAGTGAAACTACTCAAGTAAAGTACAGGTAGGCCAATTTAAAGGTGAACCTAAGCACGGTAGTTAGGCTGCTTGAACAAATGTAACTCGCCTAGTTGTTTCTCACCACAACTGTAGACATAGCTTGTCTGTCTTATTATCGACAGCATTCACATGAAACACGTGACAGGAAGTGTGTGGTTGCTTAGAAACCAGGCTGTAAACGTCCGGAGGTAGCCAGAAGAACCGAGAAGCTACAGAAGCCTCAGAAACAAAGTTCTGGACGCCTTTCTTTGTCCGTCGAGCATTGTGTTGTTAGTACCGATGTCAAACCGGAATCCTTTCCCTTCCCCAAAGTTAGAAGGCGACTTCTCTTTCAGCGGCTTCACACCGCAGCAGGTGGGTCTGTTAGCGATTATAACCTAGGGATGGCCTGGAGCTACATGTCAGCGCCTTCGGACCAACAGCTTTATCATGTCACTTCATATTGCTTTAACATGCTTATTACTTTGTCCTCAAAATTACAATTCAATTGCCACAAACAAGTAGCTACACAGTGAAGCTGGGGACTTTGGTGGCCCTTGGGACCATTTATTAAGCAGGCCTTGGAGATTAAACGGTGGCATTAAACCTGTTCTATGCAGCAATTAAAAAGCCCAGGGTGCAAAGGGCACAGTTTTCTCTACAGTATAAGCTCTTTGACAAGACTCTAAATACAGTCAACAAAACGGCCCCATGTTTGTCTTAGATGTCTACTTTAAACAAAACACTAAGGTTTTTATTTTGAAAATATTTAAATTGGTAAGGTGTTACATGATTGAGCCCTGGCTTTATGGAGAATATTATCAAATACAAACCAGTTAATAAGAAGCACTACTACAGCTGTATGTATGCTGTCATTTTGATCAAATAGATTTTTTTTTGTAACACTTCTAAGCTCACATTTATCTTGTTTCCTACTGTGCAGAGAAAAACATATGATAAGCCAACTCACATCGCCCAGATGGAAGAACCCTGGAGTCGCCTGCATGATGCCGCTACTTTGGCCAGCACCTGGCGGAGCGTCTGGTGTCGTAAGCATCAGGTAAGCACCAAGGAGCAACATTCTGATCTTCACTTATGAAAACCAGAAAACACACCTTCAATACTTTTCAAGTATTGCTTTTTTCTTGAGTTCAGGCTCCAAGTGACAGCCTCGACTTCCAGCTGAAGTCGGTCTACGATCATCACAAAGATTTCTTCTGGAGTAAGAACCAGATTTTATACCAGAAGGAGACAGTCTGTGAGGACCACAGGTGGGTGTTTGTGGTATTAAGTTTGTAGAATGGCAGGACAGCTTCATTGTGTTGGCAGTGACATTTCGGGACTTCAAATAAACTGTACTAATACATAATTTGTCATATTAATTTACAGGAAACAGGAAAACCTAAAGCTGGACAAAGAAAAGAAAGATACAGACATGAGAGTGTGGGTTGACCCTTTGAGGCGCTCCATTTACAGCATCAAGTGAAGGACAGGAGACCCCTGGCCCCTGCAGCAGATGTCTATGTGTAGAAACTAAGATTAACAAACCTAATGCTTCTCATTTAAACCCTAGACTGGTGTAATCTGACTCCAGTCTAAACCCACTGAGGCTGGGGTGAATCTGGCATGTCCCTATGCCAGAGAGGAGGAGGGGGGCAGCTTTTATTCACCATGAAGCTTCCAGTACTATTGCCTCTGACTGCAAACAACATCATAGGCCTATTCAGTGAACTTTTGTAATCATTCTGCTTTTCCAAATGCTACATATAGAAAACTGAAAGGTAATTCTTTCATATAAAGTGAGGACTGAAATAGATGCCTTTACTCATAGAATGTCCAAAAAAATGCAAATTAGCCCGATTTTACAATAATTTCATTCACAAAACCTAATAAACAGTGGAAAAAGAGCTCATGCATCTCTCATTACTGTGATGATGGTAACATTGTTTTAAATTTAAAGTATATTTCTGCGTAAGATGACGCACAGTAGTGCTGCCTTTTGTAGGTGATGTTATTTGTTCTGTGCAGAGTTCCCCAAATTTCATTATCCTTTATAACACAATACCCTTTTCTTGTATTGTCATTGGTGTCTGATCAAAACCATATCAAGTATTTTACATGCAAATATTGTTCATATATATTTTGCAGAAAACATCACTACCTACTTCATACTGCCCTTCAAAACAAAACAGATTTAAGGCATTTTATGGATCAGAAATGTAATTAATATTCACATGCTCATTTACAACAGTAACAAAATATTTTATTTAAAATTTTAAACATGTGCATAGTAACAGGTAAGAGAGAAAAAACAGTTTACAGTTTGTATTAAGAATTATGTTGCTGCATAAATAGAAAAAATATGCAAATGAGGAACTAGCAGTTATTTTTGGTGAACCTACTTAAAAATGGCCATGTCACTTGAAACTAAAATCTTTGACATTTCTCTGTTTAAGGCAAAGAACCAATTCTTCTTTCAAGTGTTTATAGCATGTTCTTTCTGAAATAAAACAGTTCAACAGATATCTTTTTATAACAAATTATTTACATCAGTTTTATTTTTCACTCACTGAACTGGAGAGTAAGTCCAGTACAATCCACATCTGTCAGGTTGGCCTGGCAGATTCATGCCCGGGCTTTTCTTTTGAGATGCCGTCTGATGAACGTCTTGTCGTCCCAGTGGCTGGGGTGAATCATGTAGGGACCATTGTGGACACAGAGGATAGTCATCTCATCAGCGTACTGAAGGTTCTGCAGCAGCTAAAGACAAAGAAAGCAGGCGAGCAAGTTCAGCAAAGCCAAGAGCACAGACCCGAATGGGTGCACAAACGTGCTAAGGCACATACACAGTTTCACAAAGCATTTAACCTGTAAATAACTGAGCTTTTGCCCACTTGGGGGCAGCAGAAACCAGCTATGAACACAACACTGACAAATCACACATAGAGGCCCATCCCAGCTACATTTCACTCCATTAGAAAAAATGTTTTAAAAGTTTGCTATGGTTGCAAACTTTACTACTAGACCGGTGAGAGTGAAGCACAACAGTAAAGTTGTGGGGCAGACAACAACAACCTGAAAGATGCTCAAAATGCAACACAGAGCTGAGGGGGAGCTAGCTGTAGTGATAATTATCTGTGGGTTTAACACAATGACTGGCACATTACACTTGTACGTGTGATCCATTGTTAACACAGAAGTATTGCTTATAGCTATATTACAACACACTATACACACACACATTTATGAGGAGCACACACTCATTAGGAGGTAAAGCTACTCACTTTGGGTGTTATAAAGAAGTACTGGGATGTCGTCTCTTTGCAGGCCGTGCGGA